AGTTTAAAACATTTTAAAATATTTTTTTATAAAAAAAAACTAAAATTAAAAAAAATTTTTTTGGGGCAATATTTATTGTTGTACTCACCTATATTGACGGTCTTACTACAATACATAATTTTTGTATACTTCTTGTTATTAAACCTGAGTAAAAAATGTCATGCAGTGTATTTAATAAGCAATATTAACAAGGCCACTAAAATTTCTAATTATAAAAGATTTTAAACAAAATGTGAACAATTTATATATATATTTTCTATAGAACAGAAAGCAAATAAATAAATAAATAAATTAATAATTATGCAATAACTTAAAAAAAAAAAAAGCTTAAAATTAACTACTGTTGTAGTAAAATGTTTCTGCAACACTTTTAGTGTAGTGACTTACCAACAGCTCTTTGAAATAATTTTGGCTTATTTTTCCACCATATAAAAACAAAATATACTGGAACACTTGTTAAAATCATTATGGTTCCATAACCTGTAATAATTATTTGTGTAATAAACAATCATAAGGAATAGGATGTAAAATGTTCATATGAAGATGTACCTGTTTCTTTTGGACTTTCTATCATTGGAAAAATGACAACAAAAATGGTGCATACAATGTATAAAAATGGAAAGAATAAATTAACCCTGATTGGTCTCAATAAATTTGGTTGTTTCCATCTGAGCCATGGCAAACAAAGAACTGCTATACCAATACTCAACTGTAAAGATATTGTTGATGATGTTGGGTAACAATGATTGTAAATGTTGGAGAAGTGTTTGTCTGCTTACCCATGTAGCAAATCCAACATAATTTATTAAAGCTAATATGTCGCTTACAGTCAAATACATCATCGATATAAGAGCCATACATAAAACGGCAGGAGTTGGAGTTAATCTGTGAACTTGTATCATAGTTAAAATTTCTGGCATTTGACCTTCGCATGCACCTGCATAAAATAATCTGGATGATGTTAATAAAATTCCATTTACGGCTCCAAATGTTGACAGTGCAACAAATACGGGTATCGTCCAAGCCATAACTCCAAACAAACGATTTGCAAATGTCTGAAATGATGTATTATAAAAATTTCATTTTCGATGGGAAGGAAGAAGAAATGTTAGTGAATGTGTACTCACGACAGCAACAGCCTCAGATTCGAGAACTTCTTTAGGCGATAATGTTGTGTAAAATGCAATATTTGTTAAAACGTAGACAATTGTAACTAGAGTACATGATATGGCAATGGCTTTTGGTAAATTTTTAATTGGATCTTTTAATTCTTCGATGATGAAATTTAAATAATTCCTACAAAATAAATAAATAAGTAGAAATTATCGAATAATAAATTATTATTATTATCTAATACATATAAAACATGCAATAATAAGAAATTATTAGTGCAGTGTGCGTTATTTATGTAGTATATATGAACGAAGTGAAAATAAAAATAATCGATGATGATAGGAATTGTTTGAGGAGAAAAGAAAATTTTAAAGAAAACCCTGATAAATAATTTACCCACACTACAGCCTACTTATGAAGACGTGATGGGACGTATTGATGAACGACAGTAGGCGCTTCATTAACTTCGTTCTTCAACAGGATAAACCCCCCCCTCTCTTAACGAACGACAACTCCTTTTTCTTCTTCAAAGCCTTATTATAAAGAGAAAAAAAAAAAAAAATTTAATTTATCACAAGGCTTATTGACAACAAGGCTTATTGAAGAAATTGAATTTTTCAAACGCGACCTAATTCAATACAAGTGGGGGGCGGGGGGAGGAAAAAAATTGCAAAAAAAAAAAAAGTGAAAAACTCACCAGCCATTATAAGCAAAAAGACCAGAGTAAAAGGACAAGGCTATTGATGGAACTTCTTTTATCGTACCTTCGAATGTAAAATAACTGGTATGACCTTAAAAAAAAAGTCAAAAATTAAATCAAAATAAACCTATATCAATAATAATAATAATAAAGGATGATGACCCTTAAATTCTGACTGTATGATAAAGAAAGAATAAAAAAAAAAAAAAAAAAAATTTTTTTAAATTAAAGGACAAAAGTGTATTTTTAGTCTCATCATTGTCAAAAAATTAACGGAAGTAAAATAATAATAATAATAATAATAATTTAAATTATATACTGACCGGTTAAGAGTTGATATATCCCAGCAATAATAAGGCCGAATAAAGCAACAAGTTTTGCATATGTGAAAACATCTTGAACTCTTGTTGCCCATTTGACATCCCAACAATTTACAAATGTTAGGGTCACTTCATATCCGGTGTGATTTTAAAAAAAAAAAAAATTTGCAATCAAATAATTATTATTATTATTATTAATGAAAAAATTAATAAATAAATTTTTTATGTAATACTAAAAAACGCGGGAAAATTTAAAATATGAACTTTGTTTGATTTGAATCGAATGTGTATTAGTTATCAGACAAATTTTGACCCTTGTTTATATTTAAATGACCGATTTATTGATCGGATAACGGAAATAATAATAATAATAATAATAATAATAATAATAATAATAATAATAATAATAATATTAACTTATTCCATCGCAAACGGATTTAATAATAATAATAATAAAAAAAGTATTAGTTTTAAATTGTGATTTACGATTTCGTTTTTAAATTTAATTTTCTCTCTGGTAAATTTAATAACGTCAGACGTAATTTTATAAATTATTTAAAAATAATAACGTAATGAAATAAAAATATATGGGGATATGATTATTATTATTATTATTATTACAAGAAAACGTCATCGAGTTTTTTTTTTCCATTGAATTTCCCCCTTTGGAAGCTGGAAAAAACGTTTAAGGGGAAGAAACGAATTTGATTACGTCACACAACAGATCAATACCCTCAACTCCGTTTGGGAGTCTGTATAAAATATTTCATATCAATTTATGTGTGTTTATACTCACTTATGCAACAGCACGCGAGAAGACGAATGCTTTCTTCCGGGGGTTCGCATTCTGGAAAAAAAGGTTTTAATACGTATATGCTGAAAGTGAGGGCTACTATGGCTTGGGAACATGGTCTCACGATCATGCATTCGATCCATAAACGTATAAATGCTAAAAATGGTCCAAATGTTGTCATTATATAAGCGTAATCAGCTCCAGATTTTGATATCATACATCCTAATTCAGCGTAGCAGTAGGCACCAACCTTAGAAAAAAAAAAAAAATTGCTCTAATGACAAATAATTAAGACTAATTACATATCAAATATAATTACTAGAAAAAAAAGAAAAAATTTCGATTTTAATGAATCATGATTGACAACATGACAAAATTACCTGTCATTTTTTTTTTTACTTAATAAATTGTTTTCTCTCTCTCTCTCTCTCTCTCTTTAATTATTTTTAATTAATTAATAATTTAGTTAACTATTAGTTTTTAACGTTTTTATCGAAAAACGTATATCAAGTTTATTATTATTATTGATAATTATTATTATTATCATATCGTTTTATAATTATATGGATTATGTGACTACTTAGAATTTTTTTTTTTTTAATATTAAGTTGGCTAAACTGTTATTATTTTTTTGAGCTGTACGGGGGTTGAACGAAGGGTTTTATGTACTTAAAAGGTCATTTTTTAACGGTTTTTATTAATGTGGAAAAAAATACCGGAAGGAATTTATTGATAATGGGGGGGGGGGAGGGAGAGTAAAAAACGTCACACAAATCTCACCATAGAAAAAATTCCAGAAACAATCCATACGATTAGTGAAGCATTTACGGATCCGGTATATTTAAGAACTCCCGTAGGACTCACGAATATTCCAGAACCTATAATGCTTCCAACAATGACGGTACATCCGTTTAAAAGGCTCATTTTCGCTTGTAATTTTATTTCCGTATCATTTTCCGGTTCTGGCGTTCTGACAATATTTTCCGTTAGTATATCATCATCTACGGATATATTTTCCGACGATGGAGATCTTTGTCCTCTCTCTCTTATTTTCGATTTAAATTCTAAACTTTGACTCATTTTTAATTAATTAATTAATTTATTTATTTATTTATTTCAAAAAAATAATTTTTATGTATAAAAATTATTATGGATATTTTATTGTCATTTTATTTTGTTATTTCACTTTACATATATCTACGAAAAAACAAAATTATTATTATTATTATTAAATGTTAACATTGCTTGTCAATAGGTTAGGAATTAAATTTAATTTTAATAATTATTAAAAAATAATAATAATGATAAAATCAAGCCACGATTTTTAAAATTAATTTCTCACATTTTTATTAATTTTTTTCTTATTATATTCCAAAAAGTAAATAAATAAATAAATAAAAGGTTTAATAAATAAACTTATAGAAAATAAATAAAAATTTTTTTTTTGATATTTTTATCACACCCGGCACGAATCTCGTACGAAAACTAAATTTTCCACGAATTTTCCAACCCTCGGTTGCGGAGCGAAGAAAATGGTCCAACGGAGATGATATTTATCTTAATATAAAAAAATTAATCCTAGCCATAAGTTAAACATAAGCGAGAAAGAATATTTTAAATTCCTCCGTTCGTTTTCACAGATTAATTTACTAACATTGTCGAGAGACAAACGTAATTTTTTTAGAAGGCTGTGGAACTGATCGAGTGTAACGGTCGATTCAACCTCGATCAACCTGTTACGTTTTGTTTCGCGGTTTTTTTTTTTTTTTTTTTTTGTTTAACCGTCGATAAACCTTTTAATTTAAAAATATTTCGAATTTTCTTTTGTTAATCACGTGTTAGTTAAAATCAATAACCGTAACGGAAAAACAAAATTATTTGAAAGTAAAAAAAAAAAAACTTTTGTTTAATAATTTTTGCGGTTTTTCAAATCTTTCATTCATAGAGATAGTAAACATTTTTTTTTTTTTGCCTTTCAATGGGGATTACGCGTAATAAATTAATAGGGGGAGGGGAGGGAGGGGGGGGGGAAAACAAACCAAAAATATTTTATTAGTAGAATGGAATTGGTTTTGAAAATGAAAAAACCGTTAAATGGAAAAAAAAAAAAAAAAACAAAACAAATTAATTAATTTTATAAAAATTTTTATTTATTTAAAAAAAAAAAAACAATATGGTGTTATTTTTTAATAAAACTTTTAAGTGTAGACTATTTTATTTAAAAAAAAAAAAAAAAAAATTAACAGTCTGCACGTGTAGAAAACAAGAAAATCAATAATAATAATAATAATAACCATCTTAATAATTTTAATATTTATTTATTTATACTGACTTATTTAAAATTGAAAGCGCAACTTTTGTTTTTTTTTTATAACTTATTTATTCACTTATTTAATTTAATTTAATTTAATTTAATATATATAAAAAAAAAGGAAAAAACAAAAAAAAAAGAAAAATTTACTAACCTATTTATATTTAAACGTTTTTTTTTTATTTTTTTTTATTGCATATTATCAGCCTGTTTTATTATTATTATTATTATTATTATTATTATTATTATTATTAACTTTACAAAAAAGTATTTAAAATAATTTTTTCTCTCTTCTCGATAAAATATATATATTTATTTATTTATTTATTTAAAAAAATTACGCTTTCTTAAAACAACAAACAGAGATTTTTATTTATTTAAAAAATATTAATAATTAAATTTTTTTTTTTTTTTTTTTTCATATTTTTTTCCTTTTTTTTTATTAAATTTTTTATATTATTATTATTATTATTATTATTAACATTATTAACTAAATCATCTAAAATTTAATATATATATATATATAATATAAATGGGAAAATTTAAAAAAAAAAAAAAATTTAAGAAGGGGTAAACAAATAATAATAGTTAAACACGATATATCGATCTATCGTTCGATCGATCGATCGATGGATCGATCGATATATCGATTTACTTTCTTAAATTTTCGTCTGCTTTTGTCGTCGTGCTTTTGCTTTTGGACGCCGATCTGAGCGGATGCATGAATTCAATGTAATTAAAATCCGTAACGGTTTTTTGATTCGTTTCACTTTCCGAATTCACTTTAATGAATTTTTCCGGCGTTATTATTTTAAAATATTTCGATCGTCTCGATCGGTCCATTTCCGCAGCTTCCTCTTTTTTTATCAGGCTACTACTTTCTTTAACGTCACCGCTTTCGTTTACAACTCTTACTCTGCTGCACTTTTCCATTTGATTTTTATCACCCTGACTTCCTGTTGCTACTCCTCCTCTTCCGGCGTCGGTGCTACCACCACCGCCACCACCACCGATTATGTTGTATATGTTGTCCATGTTGAGTTTCGAATCGAGAATTTTATCTTCGACGCTTTTGATCATGAGGGATTCGAAATTGATGCCGCCCTGAACTCGTTTTTGTTTTTCTTGCTCGTTGTTGTTTTCCGGGCCTCCCGCGGGACTTTTTATCAATGGCGGATTTAATTTTTTCCTAGGTATGTTCGTTCTCTTTTTTTTACGTACGTTTTTTACCGTTTGACCTTCGACCAATATCTGCGGCAAAACTTCAACTGAAACGCAAAAATTAAAATTTTGAATTTTCTATTCGCTTTTTCATTCAACGTTTTCGAAAGGTTCCAAGGTTTTCTCACCTGATTTACCATCGCTCGTTCCGTCGAAACCTACAACCTGACCTTCGTCGTTGACGTAAAAAACCTGAACGCTAACGCCGTCCTCGTTTAATTTGTTCGAGGAATCGGGGGGTGGCGAAGAAGTTGACAACAATTGATTTTCAACCACTATGGGCGTGCTGTCGGTTAAATTGGGTTCCATTAATATCGACTCATCGTTTTCCCCGCTCCCCGTTTTTTCTTTTTGAGAAAGTTGAGGCGGAGGCGGCGGCTTGTATTTTTCTACGAAAGGTTTCTCGTACTCTATAACCGGCGTGTTTCTATTTATGTACGAAGCTTTCCGAAGAGGTTGAATGGGTTTGACGGCTGTCGTGCTGTGGGCACTGCACAACAATCCACCCTTGTTATCGGGAAACATGTTGTTGTCTAAATGAGCAAAGCAAAACGCGGTCGTACACAATTTACAACATCTTTTAGTTTGTTTCTTACATAACGAACAACGATGACGAGGACAAAACCACATTTCTGAAACGACAAACAACAAACAACAAACAGTTTTTTTTAAAAACCAATAACTCAAAGTTTTTTTTGAACTTTTTGTAAATTTACCGTTGGGCCATTCTTCTAATCCCACGCATTCAATATGATAAACTTTTGGACAATTGGGCACGTCGCAAACCATCAATTCTCCGCCATCTTGACAAACGAAACATTCGTCTTCGCTTTCTTTTTCCAATCTTTTTACAAGTTTTTTCTCCGTTTTGTCGTTCTATCGTAAAAAAAAAAACAAATGATTCGAATGAATCACAACAAACAAACAAAATGACAACAAACAATTTTTTTTACCTTGACTTTAACTCCTATAAAACCGGAACAATTTTCTTCTTCGCAGTGACACGCTTTCTTTTCGTTTCCAACGCAATCCAAATTATAATTAAAAGTCAATTCGGTTCCCGCTGGAATATCTTCGAGTGCGAAAAGTCCAACTCTTGTGTCCATGTTAACCGTCCACTTTTGCGTTTCGCAATTCGGCGAGCACGAATGATTCATGAACCTGAAATGAAAAAAATAACATTATTATTATTATTATTATTTCCGCCCCGCAAAATTTTCTTTCATTTCCGGGTCATTTTTTTTTTTAACCTCGCTAAATTTCCCTTTGGCCCCGCATCGATTATTCTATCTTTGTCTATCGTTAGAAAATAATAATTATTGTCCATAGTTTCCTGTTTTCTTTTCATTCTCCTTTTAAATTCTTCATCATCTACGACTTCTCCGACGTATTCGATAACAAATGATCCCTTAGGAATATCGACAGTCGATCTCAATCCCCAACCTCTTCTTTCAGTTCTGTAACAAATAAAACCTGGATTTGAGATCGATGATTCCGAGAAAGGATAGAAATGAATCCATAGATTATAAATGACGAACCTGTAAGGTTCTAATGGCGGATATTCCCTTTTTTCAAAACTTTGATTTTTACACCGGGTTCCCGCGTTGCAATAATTCGGATTGCATTCGACGAGGAGCATGCGATTTAAACAATCCGAACCCGGACCGCAGGGAGATTCGTAATTAGGATCACAGTCACAGGTTTGAGGTTCCGATTGATAACCGGATCCCAGTTGAACTTTTCCAACCTGCACAAATACAATAATTAATACCTAATTAATTTCCCCTCACAAATTTTTCTTTCTTTTTTTCGTTCTAAATATTTACGGGTCTGTTTGTTTTTATTTTCACGAATGGAGGAGGTCGCGGAACGTTTGAATTATTGCTTTCCATGAGTCTCGATTTTCTTTCTTCTTGCAAAGCGAAATAATCTTTCGTCGCTTCTTGTACTGCTCTTTGGTAAATTTTGTCGACGTGAGATTGACCCTTGAACTTTTGTTCGGAATCTCCTTCCTGTAATAAAAATCAAATTTTATTTATTTCATTTACTCATGGGTTGCTTCAAAAAAAAAATACCAAAAAAAATACCTGAAATAAAAATACTCGTCCTCTGTTCAACCAATAGTGATCGTTTGAACCGTAAAATCTAACGACAAATTCCCAGGATTTGTGCGGAAGAGCCATTATGTTTCCTTGTATTTCTTGCGGAAATAAAACTCTTGCAGGCCACCATCTTTAAAAAAGAACCAAAAAAAAATTCGATTCGATTCGTAAAACAGGAGAGAAATGAGGAGGAAAAATTTATACCTATATCGACCCATTTTGACCCAAACAACTTCTCCGTACAAGGGAAATCTTCCGGATTCGCATTCTTCGCATATGTAGGGTCCCTCGGGAGGTTTAATATTGAGACAGTCTAAGTGAAAGGATGAGGGACACCAATCGCAACATATTAAAGATCCACCCATGTTACATATAAAACACCAAGATATGTTTACGTGAGATTTTTTATTCGTATCCCCGTGTTTAACGCAAATAATTTGCGACGTGTTCAGTATCTGAAAAAAAAAATTTTCCTTCTCTCTCTCTCTCTCTCGCAAACTAACAAATAATAATAATAATAATAATATCAAATCGTGCTTACCGTGCTTCCGGCTGGAACGCAATAATTACCCACGTGATACGCGCTTGGACATTTTATGCATTTAACAAGTCTTTCAGACAAATATTTAGAATTACAATCGGAAGGATTGTCCGAAGCGCACGTGTGACACACGTGTAGTGGACAACTAAGGATTTGATAGTGCGGCGATTCCGAATTGGACGTTTTATTTTGTTGCAAAGCGTGCGATTTCCTTATGGGAGCTCCCTGATTGTAAATCGTTTGCGGAAATAATTTCAAACATTTTTGATGATAAAATTTTCCGCAGTAAGCTGCCAAATGATAATAATGATAATCGAATGGAAATCCAATTTAAATGATAATAATCTTTTTCAAATAATAATGATAATTACCGGCGCAACACCTTTGCCTATTTCCGCTCCTGCTATTACAAACGAAACAAGGATTTTCCCCACGCAAACAATCCCCGCACATCCAATCTTGCTCTTCGTCTTTTTCTTGGGCTTCGCACGGAGAATCGGAATCTCCGTTCGCGAACAATTTTCTTCTCCTTTTATTTTTAATGACGGGCATGTGAGTTTCGTCGATGGGCGGTAAATTAGCATTCAATTTTTCCGTGCAAGATTTGTGAAACGAACCCTGGCACAAACCCTTGCATTTGATTGTTTTTTCATTTTCGAGAAATTCAAAACAAATTTGACAAACCTGCGGGAAAACGAACGTACAAAAAAAAAAAAAATTACTTTCAATTGAAAAAAAACCAATAATCGATTGAATGAATGAACGAACGAACGAGCGAGCGAGCGAGCGAACGTACTTTTTCCGTTCTGGCACCTTTAAATAATAATAATTTTTTTTTAATTATCGTTTCGGATCCTTTTTCCCCGTTCGACCCGCTGTCGGAAGGTACATATTCTTCTTCGTTACCATCTTTTCGAATTCTCTTCTTGACTTTTCCATCCGTTTCAACCGATTTTCTAAATTTTCTTTTAGAATTTTTTTTAGGACTCCTAACGAATTTCAATGTTATTTTCGGGGAGTCCTTATCGCTGTTTTTCGTTCCCTCATCCAAATCCGAAGAAGTATTGACACATTCAAAACCTTCAATGAATCAAATTATAAAAATTTTTTTTTTTTTGTTTTACGTGTTATTACACCACATCAGCAATTCTTTCTCGTCTTACCGGTGGCTTTATCTATGGCTTCCTCAGCCGTGGCAGCTTTTTCGCTGTTGTCCCCCGTCCAATCTGATGATTCTTCACCGGCAGACCATGCAGGCCCGGTCATTCTTCTCTTTTTATTTATTTTACCTCCCTGCGGAGATTTCGAATCTCCCGATTTGATCTACAAAAAAAAAAAAAAAAAAAAATTTAAATCACTTATATTATTATTATTATTATTTAATTGATTTTAAAATAAAGGTTGAAGACGAGGATAACAATACGTGAGAGAGAGAGAGAGAGAGAGGGAGAGACGCGATTTTACTTAATATTAAAAATTTTTTTTTAAAAGACTTGATGGAAAACTTACCTGATGAAGGAAGTTTGCTTTTAGGTAGGAAAAATAAAGAAAAACACATCTTGATCTGAAAAAGAAAAAAGGTAATAGAAGAGGAATTAAGGAAGGTGTGAACTGCCTGCCTTCATACGGAAAGATGACATGAGATATTTAAGGGGATTCCCCCCCCCAAGTTAAGGAAAAGTCAAGGAAACGGATCGGAAAAGGACGACAAAGGTCAAATAATCGTTTATGCGTAAGTGCAATACAATTTTTTTTTTAAATTTTCACGCGTTCGTTATGCCGCGTGCGTTCGGCGGTTTCGATGTTAATTATATTAATCATACTCACGACGCGTTCGTTAGGAACTAATCGACCGTTCGCAACGGATTCCGCATATTTTACCAACGGATATTTTATTTTCATGTACGTTATTCTTTCATCTTTGGTTTTGCATAACAGGGCTTCCCCTTCTTTCACGGCTCTCATCCAATGTTTTTCCATTCTTTTGGGAATGAAGAAAGCTTGTTGATAGAGTAAATCTTTTCTTTGCGTGAACGTGTTCACTTCCGGTAGATCCCATTTCATTTTTTCAAAATTATCCATTCCTAAAAAAAAAATATCACAAATTTTGTTATTTTCGATCCCTTGGAGTAATTCATAACTTTTTTCATAAAAAAAATTTACCGGTGAAGCTCATTATGTACAATTCGGGTCCCCACGCACGTCTACCCCAATCTGCTAAAAATTGAACGTGTACGAACGGACGCGGTAATCGGCCCAAATATTTAACTTTGGAATATTCGTCGTTGTTGAACGGGTCTCTCAATATCAAACCCGGCCAAAATGGATTCCCTTAAATTTCCAAATTATTATTATTATTATTATTACTAAACATTTGATAATATCAGCCATTTTTAAATTTTAATCCCAATTTCAACTCACCCGCAAATCTGGCCCAAACCAAATCTCCCGGTTCCCAATTGCATTCGAAATTGGATGCATTTTCTTCCATTTTGGATTGCAAGTAATTTTCCATCCCTTCTCCCGATTGTTCAGGTTCGTCATTTTCATCGATTTCATCTTGATCCTCCTCGCACCTCGTGACTTTACGAATCAAATTCGAATATTCAAATTCCGTTTCCGTTTCCGTATTTTTTTCTTTGCTTGTTAAAACTCCGCCATCATCTTTGATCGACGTCGTTCTTTTTATCCTCTTATGACTCGAACTCGTTGCTATCATATCGACTAATTTCGGAGTCATTTTTATTTCTCTAAAACTTTTCCTTCTGTCGTTATTCTGATCCTCGGGATTAACAATAACATTTTGCCCTAATAATTCGACGACATTTTTCCTTTTTTTCTTTTCTTTTTTCTCATTTCCGGTCTCCGAAGTTGTTTCCCGTGCGTCCTCTGACGTTTTGTAATCATCATCTAAACCTTCGTCGTTTTGTTTATCAGTTTCACTGTTGCCAACATTTAAACAACCATCACTTTCGTTTTCTTCCGGCATAGTTTCTTCAGATTCAGGTTTTTCATTGGAATTTTCTTCTTCTTCTTCTTCTTCACCCTCGGAAACGGAAGTTGGCTTTTCATTTTTATCAGATTCTACTAACGGCGTTAAATTTTTTTCTGACGTTTCGGTAAGAGACTCTTCACTTTCTTCTGCTTTTTTCTTCTCATCGTTATCAATCGAAGTAACTTCTTCGTCCATTTCTTCATCTTCATCGTTTACTTTTTCTTCAGAACTCTGTGTTAAATTTTCTTCAGGTATTTCGATTTTCTCATCACCCTCCTCCGACTTGGTATCGTCGTCAGGTATCGAATTCGATTCTGCATCATCGATATGAGAAACAATTTTTTCTTCTTCTAGTTGTAAACGAGGTTCGACGTTTTTTTCAGGTTTATCTTCACCGTCCGCGACTTTTTTTTCAGGTTCAGACTTATTTCGATTCGCCGAATTGTTTCTAAGAACTCTTTTCGATCCCAACATTTGCTTCTTTTTGCGAGGTAAAACTTCTTTGGTTTTTTCACTTTTCCCTTTAATTAAATTCTCTTTTTTAGTTTCATTTTCATTTGATACGTCGCCATCTTTGATTTTTCCCCCGACTTCTTCCGGGGGTAACGATGAGGGTCTGTTGAAATTTTCTTTCGTTTTACTCGAGGAAGGGATTTTATTCGCATCAGCGCTAAGAGATCTTTTCTTTCGTTTTCTCGTTACCAAATCATCCTCCTTCTCAGTTAAACACGGGTAACTTTCATTTATTTTTTTTTCTTCTTCTTTTTTATTACATTCAACGTCGGAAAATTTTAAATTTTTTTCCAAATCGTTTGCATTTCCATCTTTGACGACGTCGTCCCGATTGTTTTCCGTGTCGTCATTACATTCAACATCCGGTGACTCCATTTTCTTTTTTCCCTTAATCCCTTCTTCCGGATTTAAATCTAATCCGAAATTAATTTTTTCACCGTAATTTTTTACACGTTTGCTTAGTAAAACGTTTCGAACTTTTCGCCTTTTTTTCCTATAACCGATTAATTGACGATTAACATTTTTAACTTTTTTATTATTTGTCGTTAATGATTCTATCGTTTTGTTTACATCCGTAGAATTTTCTTCTGCTTCTTCTGCTTCTTCATCATCGTTCGTATTTTTTTTTGTACTTTTAGATTCCTCGCAATTCATAACAATTTCCTCATCATTGATTTTCTTCATCGTATCTTCACTATTTACTGAAGAATTTGAATCTTTCGTTTCCGTTTCCGGTTTTTCATTGTTTGTTTTCTCTATGACTTTATTCGAAATTTCATTTCGACAACTATCAACATCCTTTATTTTTTTATTTCTCGTATTTTTCTCTTCGACGGAATCCCCTTCGTCGTCGTTTCCATTTTCCTCCCCGACGCTAATTTCAGTCTTTATTTTTTTTTCCGTACTCGGTACGTTGTCGTCATCATCATCATCATCATCATCATCAATATTTTTAGAATTTTCCGATTCATTTAATTTAGGCATCATTTTCGTTTTTCTCCTTAACCTTTTACCCTTTTTCTCTACGACGGAAGTTATATCGAACCAACATTCCACGGATTCGTTTAATGCGTTTTGTAAAAGTGCAGAATCGACTCGAGTTTTTAAATTTTCTTTACCGCTTTCAACCTTTTTACATTCATCCCCCGGATCGGGTAGAGAAACCGTAGAAGAGGGTGTGAGTTTTCCTGAATTTTCCGCTTTGTTTTCCTCTTTCGTCTCGTTGCAATTTTCAGTAACGACACGTGATTTTTTTCCCAATTTATTTTTACACGGTATCAAATCCTTCGTAACGTTTTTCACTTTTCTAACCCTACCTGATCTTGAAATGCTTTCCTTTGCATTTTCCTCGATGGATTCCATCGATTTGTTATCTTCAACACTTTCTTTTTTTTTCTTCTTTTTCTTACCAAAACAACCATCTTTAACTAATTGTTTTCTTTTTAATTTAATTTGATTTTTAGGACTCGAATCATTTATTTTTTTCATACGATTTTTTTTCGTAAACGTTTGAATTTGTTTTTTACTAATGGCACAATCACTCTCACCCTTAATCAATTTCTTCCTATCTGATTTTTTGTCATTTTTTTCATTACACTCCATATTGTTTTTTTTTTTCTCCCTTTTACCACAATTATCATTTTCAATTATATTTTTCTTCTTATTTTTCAAACCACTTATTATTTTTTTTCTCTTCTTTTGTATTTTCCCAATCGTTTTCTCTTCTTTTTCCTTATTACTGTACCTTACTTTATTTTTTCCCAATTTTTTATTGGGCCCACTTAATTTTTGTAATGATTTAGTACTTAAATACCTACCAGATTTTTTATTATTATTTGTTAGAATTTTTTTTATTTTCGATGGATTACAAACGCTAACATTATATTTATTCGATGCATTTAATTCTTCATTCATATTCCTAAAATTAAAATTAATTCGACATTTTGTATTTTGACAAATAATAATAATAATAATTTGGGGGAAATTGTAAACAATACAAACTCTAATGCATTCGGTCCTTCGTTTATCATTATCATCGAATTGATTTCTTCCGCTGATAAATCACCATCGACATAATCTTTGCACATTAAACTTTCCTCACCCTCATTATACTGATAATCTTCTTCGCTGTTTAATATGCATTGATCCAATGACACAGAAACCGCTTTCATTTCTCTATATATTGGCGGTTCCCCATCGATATGAGTTATATGAACGTTGTCCATTTTGTTATTTACTGTAACAATTCGAACATCATTGAAATATTAAATACCTTATTTAATTATAATAAGAATTAAGACCAATATTAGCAAACTTGGAGGTCATTTAATAAAAACAATTAATTATAATAAAATTTTTATAAAAATAATTTGAATATATTTGATTTATTTTATCAAAAAAAAAAAAAAAGAAGAAGAAGAAGGATTGTAAAATGTTGTTTATAAAAAAATAAATACAACAAAACAATTTAAAATTAGGCTCACACACACACACAGACAGACAGACAAACTAATACAAAAATGGCCGCCACAACAGAACGTAATCAATGTCTTTTAGATTAATATCTACTCCGATATTTCGTTTGGTTTTCTTTTTTATTAAAAAAAAATTAATTAGTAAAATGATGGGGATGATTTATTTTCATCCCTTGAAAAAACATAAGAAAGAAATTATATTTGTTTTTATGTATTAGCGGCAATGGACGCAATTGAATACTCGAGATAAATCTGTTATGAGTTTATACTTACAAATAAAAAATAAATTTTACGTGACGCAAATTAATAGTTTTAATATAAAAAAATTCATTTGTACGTTTTTCATTTTTATCCGAGATTAAAACAAATTGTTATCGAAATATTATTATTATTATTATTATTATTGAAACGAAAAAAATCAAATGAATACAACAATAATAGCTGATGGAATGCTAAACGAAGAATTTTACCTCGAAAAATAAACGATTGACGAAGCCTCCGAGATTTTTTTTTTTAATTAACTACTCAAAAGTACATTTTTTTGTAATTTAACCTTTTATATAATTTTATTTTTTAAATAATTATTAATTATAAATAAATTTTTTTAAAAGACTTACAATTAATCCTATTTTTTTTTTTAAATAAATCCATTTTTTAAATTATATACCATATAATATAATATTTTAAATATATATATATACCTAAAAGGCGATGCGTAAATTTGTCGTGTCATTAATTAATATTCCGTCCGCCTTTTATTACATTACTATTGACACGATCATTTTCAAAACAATCAACGGTAAGGAATTTTCAAAATAATAATAATAATAATATTGATACAGTTGATAAATAAATTATAAGCTCATTTTAAATAATATTTAATTAAATGAGTTGCATTTGTTTGAGTTTTTTTTTTTCTTATCTGTTTTTACTTTTAAAATATTAACTTTATTAAAATTCATAATAATAATAATAATATTAAGAAGTTAATAAATGCAAGTAATTCAGAAGTAATTAATTATTATTATTATAATTACACATAGCTTGTTTTTAAAACTGATTACCTCGAATACTAAAAGTTAAGTAGCAGGTTATATTGTTTTTATATTATATATGTTTCAGTGAATAGAACTAAATTAAACGTTTAAATATGGTAATTTAATGAGGTATATGTTTAGAATATGGGTACTCCATTTTGTTAAAGTATAATTGTCTGGCAGAATTGTAGTTTTAGCATTATACTAAATTTTTATGACAAATATTAAACTCATATTAAAATGGATTGCACATGAGATCAAATTATTATTGTATATTTCATGAGGAAAATTTTATATATTTATTTCATTCAATTGCTTATTCCCTAGAATCAATAAGTTAATATGTCTGAAATGTCTTTTCATCAACAATAATAAAAATCCAAAATAAAAGCTAAAAGCTTAAACGTTCATTAAAAGTTTCCTAATCAAAAATTATTGGACAAAAATATATGGGAAATTTTAATATATAGCTGTAATGTCTCGCATTATGATATGTCATACAGACGAATTCAGTTTTGCCAACCTTAAAAAAAATTAATTTCAGTTGGTAGTTTTAAAATGAATTTAGAGTATTGAAGTAAACAAAAAGAAATTCTTTAAAGGTTAATTTCTAACCGTACAACTATTGTGAAAATTTATTTTTAATTTTTTTTAAAAATATAATAAGGAGTAGCATTAAAAATGGGTAAACACGAAGTTGGTACACCAAAATATATTGCTAATAAGATAAAAGCAAAAGGATTACAAAAACTTAGATGGTATTGTCAAATGTGTCAAAAACAATGTCGTGATGAAAATGGTTTTAAGTGTCATACCATGTCCGAATCACATCAAAGACAATTGCTTATATTTGCTGATAATGCTAATCGTTATATAGATGAGTTTTCACGACAATTTTCCGACGGGTATTTAGAATTATTAAAAAGACAATTTGGTAAGTTGATGTGTTTCTCACTGCATTTATAAAATTTAATGCAGTTAATTCATTGTAAAAATAATTTTTTAGGTACTAAAAGAGTACCTGCAAATAAAGTTTATCAAGATTACATATCAGACAGACATCATTTACACATGAATGCCACTCAGTGGGAAACATTAACAGATTTTGTAAAATGGTTAGGACGAGAGGGTAAATGTGTCGTTGACGAAACTGAAAAAGGTTGGTTTGTAGCTTACATTGATAGAGATCCTGAAACTATTGCCATGCAGGTATGTTAATTATTTGACTATACACATAGGTTACTAAACTTCAATTTGTTAATTTTGTTTTGGAACAATTTTTCCTTTTTTTTGTAATATCAATTTTCATAAATAATATTTAATTGTTACCTCGATGAAAAATTTTAATATTAACTATATAAAATAGGAAGCTATGGCGAAAAAAGCTAAAATGGAAAAAGACGATGAAGAAAGATTAATGGATTTCATTGAAAAACAAGTTGAAAGGGGAAAACAAAATATAGTACCTGTAGAATATACAGAACTCATAAGAGAAAGTGAAGATGATAAAATAAAATTAGAATTAAATTTAGCATTAAAAAAAGTTAACGAAAGTAAACCTTTGACTAAACCTCCGATAAATTTATTAACGAAAGATAAAAACATGAAAAAAAATGTTAAAAGTGATAGTTTACCACCTTTCTCCAATAAAAGAAAATCAGCTTTGGATGAAATTTTAGAAGAAGAAGAAAAAAGAAAAGAAAAAAAAAATAGAAAAGATTATTGGTTGTCCGTTGGAATCGTTGTCAAAATCATAACGAAAAGTTTAGGCGATAAATATTACAAGAAAAAAGGCGTCATAGAAAGCATAAAAGATAATTACATAGGTAATGTTAGAATGTTTGATACAAATGACCTTATTAAAATTGATCAAGAACATTTAGAAACTGTCATACCATCAGAGGGTAGACTTGTGAAAATTGTCAATGGTGCCTACAGAGGAGAAGAAGCCATTTTAAAAGAAATCCATGAGAAAAAATTTTGTGCAACGTTAGAAATATCATCGGGGTTATTAAAAGGACGAATAGTACAAAATTGTAAATATGAAGATTTTAGTAAATTAAATTCAATTAGTTAATTAAATAATTATTTTAATATAAATAATATATAACTACATTATATTTATTGATATTCTTCTTAAATTAATAATTCAAATACACAATTTATTATTATATGTATATATGTATATAAATAAATTTTATCGATTTTATTAGTATACAGTATAATAATAATATAAATTTAAATAATAACAAAAGATCAAAAATAAAGTATTGAAAATAATTAATAATCAATCAATCAATCAATCAATCATTCATTAAGTTTATTATTTAAAGAGCAAAGCGATAAAATTTACTGAAAATTCTTTTGCCATAAATCCAAACTTTTAAAGGTTTAATGCAAAATACAGAAAAAAAAGAAGAAGCTAAAAGGTATTTTATTACTGTTTATATTTTTCTCATTGGTTTATTATTATTATTATTATTATTATTAATGCAATTACATAAACTAATTATTTTTGTATAAAATTTTTTATCGTCTGCTTGTATATATATGTATATGTATTTTTTGAATATTATTTTACATGACGTATACTTTTTCTAATTTTTTATACGGATAAGATTCTTTTGTTTTCGGACAAATAACTTGACCGTTATTTTCGGCCGCCATTTGTGATAGGGCCTGAAATTACACAAAAAAAAAAAATAATGTTTGTATTGAATTAGGAGGAGGGTGTTTAAAAATAACGTTTTATTCGCGATTTACCTCGTCTCCGTAAACGTAACCGTTTGGTAATGCCATCGGCGTGTTGTGTTCATTTAAAGGCTTACCAGAAATGGCACATATTAAACGACTTTGACTACAATTGGCAAATGGCAAATTAGCAGCTAACTGATTCAAATTATCTTGACAAACTGGACAACTTGCATTACGAAATTCTTTGGCGCCGCTATAACACTGATTGTGAATAAGTTAAGAAATTATTATAAGTTCACATTCATGTTTATTATAAATTTGCTTTTCGAAAAAACAATTTTATCGTTACAAAAAAAAAAACAGGAAAGTAAAATAAAATTGAATAAAAGGATATGGAGTTTTGAGAGCAGATAATCCAGCTTGAAGCGTCACTGTAAATGTGCTTTGTGGAGACAATTGAAACAATCTGTAATTTTCTTGTCGAAATTGTTCTATTAATCTATCCCAACGATCGGGTGATAAAAGTTCTTTGTAAGGACTTAATTGTGTTGTCAATGGCAATGCCAGCAAAGCCATAGCATGTTGAACAGATGGAAGCTGTTCTTTTTCACATGTTGACAAATGTTTTCTTGCATGTTTAACAGCATCTATTCTACGATCGGACCTAATTAATTCGACAAATTCTTGTATTCTTATGTTGAATTCCATGGAAGATTTTAATTTTCTCAGTTTTGATTTATTGTCATAGCACCAGGCAAGGCATTTAGATGTTTCATGTTCAGCTAATGAATTTTCAACTTCTCTAGATACTAAGAAAACATCTAAAAATAAATTTTCACGTAATAAATAAATTTTTGTGATGAATTTTTTTTGAAAAATGTCAAATTTGTAAAATAGCAAACCTATATTTGTAAGATCTCTTAATTGTGATGCATGTGCAAGACATGTAGCACTACCATAATATCCTTGTCTCAAAAAATATTCTACTAGCATCCTGTCAAGACGAGCACGTCGCCATTGAGCAACTGTAGCAGAATTTGTTTCTCCAACTGCTTCTTTCAAATGTTCAAGTCTTCTTTTACAAACATACCCTGCCTGTAATTCTTCAGAAATGCTTTCTTCAGCCTAAACGTTGAATGAAAAGAAATTTAATGGTAAATTCAACTGATTCAACTGAAGTATAATATTTAAGTAAAGACGATAGTTTTATAACATTACAATACACAACATACTGCGACATTACCTTTCTTTTAAAAACCTGTAAACGTTCCACCATTCCCCCTAACAATCTAGAAATTTCTCCAGCTCCAACTGATTCATTTTGTAAACCTTTTTCCAAGTCTAAAGCGGCTGCTTGAACGTGAAATACTTCACGATCTAATGTTTTTTGTGCAGCTCTGAATTTTTTGTTTAATAATTCGTATGGAACCTGTTGAAATGTGTAAAAGTTTGTAACCCGATTTAAAATTTAAAAAAAAATTACTTAAAAAACCTTAAATATTGATACCGCTTTACCTTTAATGTCGGGTGTTCTAGAGATTTGACGTCGGCCATGGTAAAATATATTAGCAAAATAATGTCAAATACAAACAAGAAGTGGAAATGTATTCATTTGTTGTTTTATAACTCAAGTGACGTCACATCTACAATTCAGAGATTTTATTAAGTAAATGTGGCAACATTGTCTGGAAATATTACTTGATAAGCTGACCATGTGTTTGTTTACAAAAACAAAAATAGAATTGTGATAATTTATTTTGAATATATATATTTTATTTTTATAATGATTTGAACTTTAGATTAAAAACTATTTTTAAATAAATTTTTTTTTTTCAATTATTCTGTACAGTTCATTGAATTTATAAAGATAAAACTTTGTACTATTAAATAAATAAATATAAGTTTTTTTGGTACAATACAAAAGTAGGCTATTTTGGCGGCGAAATTTGACTTTACGCGTAGGAAAAATAATTTTTATGGTTATTTTAATATAAGTTTTTTTTTTTAAAAATGTATTAAACAAAACATCGAACCCGTTTTCAAATAACTTATTTGAAAAAATAATGATAATAATTGTGTAGCTTTTAGTCATTAATAAGAATTTTTTCTTTTTATTTGGCCCTTCTCTTAAAATTAGCCTATATAAAATGTTTCAAAAAAAATTTATTGCAAATGCATCTAAGGGTAAAATAATTTCACGTTTCAAACATATAAAATATTTGGAAGTTAGATGGAAAAGCACATATTTTTTGACAACTCCGATTTTTTACGTTAATGCTGGTATATACATTAGTTTAATTAACCAAAATTTACTAAAATCAAGTTTTTTGTCTTATTTAAATTTCATGTAAATTTTTTAGAACCACACATTGGTCATTTGTATACGACTACCATTGGAGATGCCATTTCTCGTTATAAAAAATTGAAAAATTGTAATGTTAAATACATGGTAGGAACTGATGAACACGGATTAAAAGTTAGTAAAGCAGCCAAAGCTTTAAATCTAAATGTTGAAACGTTTTGCGACAACGTTTCAGAAAAATATAAATCATTATTTAATGCATTTGATATTAGGTATAATGATTTTATAAGAACCACAGAAAAAAGGCATAAAAAAACTGCCATAGAATTATGGGTAAAAATCAGAAATGCAAAATTCATTTCAAAGTTTTTTTTTTTTTTTTTTTTAAATTAAAATGTTTTTAAATCTTCTTTTTTTTTTTATTAGGATAAAATTTCATCTGTAGATTTAATTTACAAAGGAGAATATTCGGGATGGTATTGTGAAGCAGATGAAACATTTATACCTGAAAATGAATTGGAACCAAATGATGATCCATTGGTTAGGTATACATTAAATGAAAAAAAAATTGTTAATTATGTTACAGAGCTTAATTATAAATTTAAATTAAGTAAATTTCAAAATGATCTTTTACACTGGTTAGATAGTGGTTAGTATTTATTCAAATTATGTCGACTGTGACAAATATTTACTTTTTAATACTTACTTCCGTAAAAAAGTCCACTAAAATTTCACGGAGAAAATTTTTACTTGTCGGTTTTTCGACAGTTATTAAAATTACATGATTTTTAGGTGAAATTATAAAACCTAATAAATTTCAAAAAATTTTAAGAAATTGGATTGAAGAAGGAAATGTTTTAAAAGATTTATCAATATCTAGACCAACTGAAAGAGTGTCATGGGGTATTCCAGTACCAAAAGATCCGACACAAACTTTTTACGTTTGGTTTGATGCATTATCTTCGTACTTGAGTACTGATGGATACCCTTATTCAAATTTTAAATGGCCTCCAGATTTACAAATAATCGGAAAAGATATTTTAAAGTGAGTAGTAAATGTTCAGTTAAACAAAAAAAAAAAAGTGAATTTGAAAAAATTTTCTCACCATTTAAAATATTTAGATTTCATGGAGTTTTTTGGCCTGCTTTTCTCATGGCTGCTGGTTTGGAACCACCAAAATGTATTTTGTGTCACAGTCATTGGATGAAAGATAATATGAAAATTTCAAAATCGACAGGCAACGTAATAAATCCTTTTTCATATGCAGAAAAATACTCGAGTGATGGTGTCAGATATTATTTATTAAAAGAAGGAGTAGCTCACAGTGATGGAAGTAAAGTTTAATTTTTCATAAAATTTCAGACGCAAACATTGATGTATGAAAATAACAATATTATTTATTTTTTTTTAGATTTTACCGATAAGAAATTAATAGCCATGTTGAATGCAGATTTAGCCGATAAATTTGGTAATTTATTATTAAGATGTACTAGTTTAACAATAAATAGAAATCAAAAATATCCTTCGTTTTTAAAAGGGGATCGCAAAAGGTTTCATACTACAGATTCAGAAAATTTAATTAATGCCCTACAGGATTTGCCAGGTATACTAAGGAATTTTTTATCAATATCCGATTATGTTTGAGTAATGTGACGTCACATTTCAGATAAAGTAGACATGCATTTTGAAGATTTTAATTTTTATAAAGGAATCGACGAAATAATAACGACTTTATCTTTAACGAATAAATTTTTCGAATCGGAAAAACCATGGTACCTGGCAAATAAATCAGATGAATCAGATCATTTGAATTATGTCATACATTTAACAATGGAATCATTAAGGGTGAAGACAAAGAGTGTTTATTTATTTGACTGATACCTTAAATGAATTTATTTCACTGTTATTTGAATTTCAGGTTTGCGGCATTCTGCTACAACCCATAATACCTAAAATATCGGAAAATCTTTTAAATAAACTTTCGATACCGATTTCGAAAAGGAAAATATTTAACATCAGACCATTTTCATGGGAGTGTGACGGTTCGACAGAGTCTTACGATATATCACAGGATAAAATAATGCTTTTCACAAAAATAAAAAATTAATAAATTTATTTTAAGTAATAATAATAATAATAATAATTTTTATTTTACATTATTTTAAATAAGAGGTAGAAAAATTTATAAATGGATAAATATATATAAAATTAATTTTATTTTTTTTCTCTTTTAAGAATGAATATGCTAGTCAAAGTGAAAAAAAGTATGAAACCGAATGATGCGAGAAAACCTTTAAAAACCTGAAATCTAGCTATACCCCAACCTTTGTGTATAATATGACTCATGGATTCAACGGGTAACGTCGTAGGTACGAAATAACTAAAATAACGTAGAAAATTAGGCATTCCCTCCAACGGCCAAATACATCCAGACATTATAATAAATGGATAAAAGAGTCCCAACGATGCGTAATTTGCTTCCGTTACGGTTCTCGTTACGACGGATATTAAAATCCCTACAAAAAAAAAAAATTACAGGTAATTATTATAATAATAATAATAATAATTTTTTTTGTTTTTCCATAATGAAAATTTTTACCAAAACAAATTCCTATAATCGATTGCAGGTACGTCAATAAAAATGCATAAAATTTATCCCCTTTACAATCCAATTTAAATATGAAAAATGAAAATATAAATAATTCTGTGATTTGCACGAGGGATACACAGCAAAGGGTGATTGTGTGAAAAATTAAAATTTCTGTTTTCGATACTCCTGTTACCAAAGTTCTATCCCAAACTCCTTCCAGTCTTTCCGTAATTATTGTTAATGTTGACACTCCAACGGCTAAGAACGACGTTAACCTAAAATAATTGAATAATTTTTTATTTGAATATGAGTTTTTTGTAAATGATTAATTAGTCATTTTTCTTTTTCAGGTGTTTTCCCTCACACTACTATCACTCCAGGTGCCATGAAATCTCTGTAAGTTAATTCTTTGCTACCGTATACAGGTTCATTGAACACTATCGGTATTCTTTCCACGTGAGGATTCACATTACAATCAGTTGCTAAACTTTGTGAATATCTTTTGTACGTATCATAGATTTCCTCTTGAACCAAAGCATTTATTGTAACATCTGTTGGGAATTTCAATGAAAATAATTATTAATTGTAATAATGGTATGAGATGAACGGGGGGGAGGGGGGGTTCACGGTTTAGTAGGTTGTTTTCTTACCAACTGAATCTCTGTAAACTTTAACTCTTTGCATTTCAATTTCGTCATCCGTTAAATCCGTGGATCTATCTCTGATTAAGGTAACCACTTTGGAAAAATTATAAGGAAAGTAAAGCATTTGACGTATGGTACCTTTTTTCACTTCGTGCATACCTTCTTCTTTCGAATATAAATAAACCTAAAAAATTTTTAACACGGGTAAAAATGGCGGCTCTCTGAACGAACCCACGGCAAAAATCGATTTATTTACTTTATTTTGTAATTTTTCTCCCAAGTAATCCACAAATTTGCACGCCAATCCCGTATATTCACATGTGTAATTGTCTTCCCTTAAAATCCCGCCTATTTTATTATGTAGTTTGTAATCTTCGCAATTTGTAAAATTACCCATTTCTTCGTTAACGATTCCAACTTTTGTGTCGTCCGGAAAAGTTCCGACAACGGAAAAAAACAAACAGACTTGAAGAATCGGAAATCCAAAAGCAAATATCAACGTTCTAAAAATCGTTTAAATTTAAATTAAAATTTAATTTTTGATTAAATTGGTGATTTTTTTTTTTTTTTTTTAATTTAAAAAATTAGTTTTTTTAAAAATTGTTCCCTTTTAAATAAAATAAAAATTTTTTCAAAGCCATCTATCGGATTTTAATGGAAATTATTTAAAACAGTTTATTTAGTTTGTTTTTTTTCCGTCGGAAAGCGTGGTCGCGTTTAAAAACCGTTACTTTCGTTTCGTTTCGTTTTTTAAATTTTAAACTTTAAAAAAATTATTATTAATTAAAATTACCCGGGATGTCTTTTAAACCTGAAAAAATTCTTTGTCAACATGGCTTTTGCGTGTCCTTTATTTGTAAATTTTAATTTTTCCGACAGTGGTTTTTTATACGGTTGAAATTCGATTTCCTAAAAGAAAAAAAAAATGGCGGCGTTAAAATTACAAAAGAAAAACGCACAAGTATGTTTAACACTTAAATTGTTTTTGAATCTCTCTCTCAAAAAAAAAAAAAAGTTTATTTACTCTTCTCTGTTGCCTTTCCATTTCATAATTCCTTTCTTTAATTTCATTAAACAATGATTTTTCAACTTGTTTCCGACTTAGATGAACAAAAACATTTTCTATTGATGTACAATTATATGTTTCTAATAATGTTTGAGGTTTACCTTCTGCTAAAATTTTACCATTTCTCATTAGTCCTATCTGCAACACAAAAAGAAAATGTCCATCAAGTGTTTCGGTCAGTATTTTTCTATTTTCAAATTAAAACTCACACAATGTGCTTCATTTGCTTCTTCTATATAATGAGTTGTTATAATAATTGTTTTCTTTCTCTCACTTGCTATTTGTACTAAATAATCCCAAATTTTTTGTCTCAATACAGGATCCAATCCAACGGTTGGTTCATCAAGTATAAGAAGTTCAGGATCGTGTACCAAAACAACAGCCAAAGACACTCTCCTCTGTTGACCACCACTGTAAGATAAGTTACTATTATTAATAATAATAATAATATTTAAACAATAACAAATTCAAATCACTTTTTTTTTTTACCTTAAATTTTTAATTAGTTTATAACCAGGTGGTAAATCTAATAATTTCGATAGGAAATTATATCTTTCATGTATTTCATCATCTGTCATACCAAATATCCAACCGAAATGTTCCAAAGCTCCCTTAACGGTAAATTCACCCACCAAAGCTATATCTTGCGGCATGTAACCAATTATTTTAGTTGATAAACCGGGGGGGCGACCCAAAACCGTTAGGCTACCACTTTGAACGGATTTTGTACCGATGATTGTACTTAAAAGGGTTGTTTTACCACATCCGCTCGCACCAAGGAGTCCATATCTTTAAATTTAAACAATTTTTATTGAAAATTTTCCCTTACGAATCAAACAAATCGGAAAATTTACTTACATGGTACCCCTTTTAACCGTCATGTCCAAACCATCCAAAATAAATTTTTTATCTTTCGAACCATAACTTTTTCTTGCATTTCTAATAATAATAGCGGGTTCATCGTCTTCGTTCATACCGAACGCCCTGCATCGAAAAAACATTATTATTATTATTATTATTGTCTCGAAAAGAAAAAAAAAAAATCACTCCTTCTTCACTTTCATCAATAACACGACTACTCAATCGTTTGTTTTCCTTTAAAACCACCCCCTTCGCGTTTTACTTCTTTCTTATTCTCCCCTCCCCACTCCTCCCCATCCACCACCCCATCGAGTATCGATCTGGTAAAATAATTAATTATTAATTTTTAACAAAAAAAAAAAAAAAAAAAAAATTTATTAAATCCCAATAATAATTTTTATTATTAATCGGTCAATGAACCACCCTTACCCCCCTCCTTCCCTTCCCTTTCCTTTAAACTACCCTTATCCTTTTCTTAGGGGGGCAGAGGGGAGGGAAGAAAGTTTTTTGGACTTTTTCAACTTTTTAATATTTTTTTTTATTGTTAATAATTTATTAATTTTAAATAATTAATGACGTAAAACAACAAATTTTTGTTTTTTAATTTATAACAAATGTTTTCCGTTAATAATTAATAAATTTAACAGAACTTATTATCAAAGAAAAAAAATTACGTAGAAATTTCTAGAACAAAAAGAGAGGGAGAGAGAGAGAGAGAGAGGGGGGAAATATTTATAAAGAATCGTTTTATTTATTTATTTATTTTTATTATTATTATTTCGAACGGTTAATAACTTTTATCACACACACACACGATATTTATCGATTAAATTTAATTAATTAATTAATTAATTAAAGATCGATAAAAATTTAATTGATTTTTTTTAAAATAATAATAATAATAATTACGTGAAAAGCGATGAGTTTAGAGAGAGAGAGAGAGAGAGAGAGAGGGAGGGAGGGAGAGGGAATGATGCATTTCGATTTTTTTTTTTTTATTTATTTAAACAAACTTTTTAAGGAAAAGTTTAATAATAATAATAATAAAATTGGGTTTTCCGCGTGCTCCATAACGATTAAATAATAATAATAATAACAATAATAATAATAACAATAATAATAATTTTATAAAACAAATAAATTTATTTATTGTTTTATTTGCTTACAAAGGCATTTTTATTACCTGAGGACGTTCTACATTTTGTAATAACAAAACAATCAAACAACCAACAAACGTGACTTTGTTTTTGTTTGTTTTTTTTTTTCGAATTTCCTTATTAATAATAATAATAATAATAATAATTTTTTGTAATTGAAAAATATTAACGAAGGATGAATGATGCGTGCATGCAAAAAAAAACTTTCGACCTTTTGACCTTTGTCAATCATTAACGAATAATTATGAATAATTTTCGGTACCCATGTCTTTAACTAATATTTTTTTTACAAATAAAGTTATTAATAAATAAATAAATAAGTCTGATGATACCCGTCGACGATGGGTACTCATGTCGCGAATGATGATGATGATGATGATGGTCAAGGTTTTTTTTTTTTTTTTAAAAAATACAAAACAAATAAAATTAACAAAATTGACGCTCCTTTCGCACTTTTTTTTTGGCGGGAAAATTATTACGTGGGATTAGACTTTTGCAAAAAAAACTCGAACCGTCGCGTAATTAATTTTCTTTGTTTACATGTTTCCTTTTTGCACTCGCCGTTGAAATAATAATAATAATAATAATAATAATAATAATAATTGCTTAATCGGCGTATTTTTGTTTATTTTTTTGTTATTTAATACTTTCAGGCCGATTTACAACTGGGTGATGATGTTACTACCACCACCACCACCCCCCACCATTACCACTATCGAGTATATTTGAATTCTCAGAATGTAAACCCCAAACTTTCCCTGCCCCCCCCCCCCCAAAGCACATTGCAAAAAAAAAAAAAATTAGTAATTTTTCATGACTTTCGTACCTAACGTTGTTCATTAAATACATGCAATATAATTTAAATATGATGACGTAATAACGATAATAATAATAATTATTTTTCGTTTAAAAATTACTTAAAAGAAAAACGGGGGGGGGGGGGTTAATTATTAAATAATACGTTATTTTTACATCCGCATTTAAACCCCCCCTCCTAAAAAAAAATTTTTATTTTCATTCAAAATTAGAAAAAAGGTCAATAATAATAATAATATTGAAAAAATAAGTACGATGATGACGTAGGAGTGAAATTAATAACAATGCAAACGTTTGTCAAACGTCATGTAAATCATCATTATCATCATCATTATTATTATTAATAAATGACGTTTGGATAACATTAATTTAATTTTTTATTTAATTAAAATTTGTTTGTTGTATCAACAACAACTACAACCAACGGAAACGTTTTTTTTTACGAAAGAAAAACACGCACGTTACGATATCATAAAACAAACGTAAAAGAAAATTATGATGATAATAATAATAATGATGATGATAATAATAATATTTAAAGCGAAATAAAATTCGTCGTGACTAATTCGTGCAAATAACGAATAAAAAAAAAAAAGAAAAAAAAAAAAAATTTCACTAACATTTTATTTATTAAATTGTTTAAAATAAATAATGATGATGATGATGATAATAATAATAATAATAATAATTAAACGAGGGCAAATATTTTATACGAAATTAGAACGAATTCCTTTCTTAAAAACAATTTTGAATATATCGCACTATTTTTGTTGTTGTTGTTGTTTGTTACAAACAATTTCTTATTAATAAACTTTGTATTATTTTTATCCATTTAACAAACAACAACAACAATAAGTTCCGGTTGTTTTACATAATATTTATTATTATTATTATTATTAAAAACGTTTTGTAAATTATTTAGAAGTAAAATTTTTTTGAAAAAAAATGAAAAATTTTTCGATTCTTACATTTGTCCAACGCTTTTATTTCACGTTCTGCTGTGGTTGTTGTTGTTGTTTGTTGCTCTCACTAACATTAATAACATTTAAATAATAATTATTACAATTTAACATAACCTTAACAACAACAACAACAACAACAATTGCATATCCGACAACAACCGGTTTAGGTAATGACATTCAATGTTAAAATCACGGATAAAAAAATTAATAAATTAATTAATTATTAATGCATAAAATTAATATAAATAATAATAATAATAATAAACAAATTACTATTATTAAAAATAAAAAAAACGATAAATAAAAATCAATAAATATCGATCGGTATTGATTTTTAATCGTGACGTGTTTAAAACATAAAAATTAAATACTTTACCTTTTTCTGTTTTACGTTTTTTAACCTAAAAAAATATTAATAATAATAATAATAATGATGATAAATTTTAGTTAATAACGTTCACCGGCCGCTTAATAACAACTAAAAAAGTAACAAAAAAAATTTGTATTATTATTATTATTATTATTTTTTAAATCAGGTAACGCGTTAGAGGCTTTTCCTCTCCCACCACATTAGTGGAAAAATGAATTAACTTGTTTTTTAATATTTAATGTTCGAGAGGCGGCGTGAAATAAGGTAGGGGGGGGGGATAAATGGCGTTAAACGTATTATTATTATTATCATTTCTTCCTTCCCCCTTTCAATAGACGATTTAATTATTATTATTATTATTTACCTGAATTTTACCTAAATATTAATACCTCACGTGTAAAAAATTATTTAACGATCGTTTCAGGTAAAAAAAAAAAAATAAAAAAAAATTTTCCAAAGGGGTGATTGTTCTAATTATTAATTAATAAATAATATGTATCGTTTAAATCATTATTATTATCATTATTATTATTATTATTTCGTATAAATATCAAATGAACCGTAAATGATTATTTAATCGCATGCTTTTGTTTTCTCGTTTTTTTTTTTTTTTTTTTTTTTTTTTATTAACGCGATTAATTTCGTTCGAATTTTATTTATTGATTTATTTATGTATTTATTAATTGTCTTATCAAAACCGTAAC